CAGTAGAACTCTCGAAGGCTTTCGACAGTGTCAACCACCCCCTCCTTCTAAGCATGATCGCGGCCTCGGTCCTACACCACAACCTGGTTCGCTGGCTGTGCTGCTACCTCAGAGGCAGGCAGGCATCCTGCCTCTACCTGAGAACACAATCGCCTTTCAGAGCTATCCACTCGGGCGTTCCCCAAGGCTCGGTCATCGCGCCGGCCTTTTTAACCATTTCATCTCCGATATCCCAGTGCCGACCCCCAACATTGCCTCATACGCGAACGACCTTACCATCTTCGTGCCGTCGCCGAGGCTCGACGCTTTTGAGGCTGAGCTCGACGTGCACCTTCGGAGCGTCTCAGATTGGTCAGTGGACAAGAAACTGGCCGTGGCTCCTGGCAAGTCCTCGGTCACGCTCTTCACCCCAGATACGCACCAATCCCGATACCACCCATCTGCCACAATTTGCAACGGCATCATCCCCCTGGACAAAACCCCCAAAATCCTAGGCGTCACCTGGGATACGCACTTCACGTTCTCCCCTCATACAAGAACCATAGCCGCGAAAGCGACGGGTTCTCTTCGCATCTTAAAAGCCCTAGCTGGTACTAACTGGGGCTTCTCCAAGGAGGACATAATTGCCACCTACCGAACCATCACGCGTCCAATCATCAACAACGCGGCCCCCATCTGGTACCCTGTTGCCTCACGCACAGCAAATACCAGTCTGCAAACAATTTAAAACACTGCACTGAGACTAGCCACCGGCTGCCTCAAAATGGCCCCGATCTCCTATCTTCACCAGGAGACCGGCGTCCCCCCGTTGTCTGCGCACCTGGACCTGGCTTGTGCCCAGTTCCTCGCCAGCGCCATCCAGCCCTCCTAAACCTCATTCCGCATTGTTTCTGCTCCACTCGGGGACCGCCTCATTAAAGCCTCCATTTAGTCGAGGTTCGGCCACCTTGTCACACCACTCTTGGCAAATGGCATTTTGCCTGCCAGTGCCTACGGAGAAGCCAAACGGTCTCTCCGCAGGGAGATCGCCTCCTGCGTTGCGGCGACCGACGCCATAAACGCCGTCCTCGCTGCTCCACCGCCGCCGATTGCATCGGTGGAGGCCTCACTCCCTCGCCCCTACCGTTCGGCGCTTTCCCAGGTCCGATCGGGATAATGCAGCTCCCTGGCGTCCTACTCCGCTAGGATCGGACGCTCTTCTAGCTCCGCCTGCCCGGAATGCAGGGATCCCCTACAATCGGTCCAGCACCTCTTCGTCTGCCCCGCCTTCCTCACGTCCCTCAGCGTCTCCTCATTGTGAGACAGCCCCGTGGAGGCAGCGGCATTCTTGGTCACCCTCCCTGCCTTCGCCCTTCTCCCCCCTCTTCCGGTACCTGCCCCCCGTCCACCTCCTGAGCCTCTTATGACCTTATGATGAGTTTAGGACGTCGTAGTCCACGGTCACGCTGATGCGCCGCCTTCGTCGTCCTCCGTCTCCGAGTCGTCGTCGGATGTACCGTTGGACGTGTTCCGTCTATTTGCCCTCCTTTGGGCCACCTGATGCAAGATGCTGTTGCTTGTCACTTGCTGATGGTAGTTTCCCATTACTGGACAACCCGGGATCTTTCTCAACCACTTGTCCAGTCGTCTCTTGAATGTTGCAAGGGTGAACTCCCCTCCTCTCAGCGCTTTTGGCAAGACATTTAAGAGCCTCGGTCCTACCACGGACAGTGATCCCTCACGAAGAGTCTGTACTCTGGCCGCGGCTCGGTTATTAAATGGGGGAATCCTGCACAGTCTCCCCCTGCTTTCGTTGTAATATGTCATTATTTTGGAGGTCTCACTCTCAAAGTTGGGAGCCAGTCCGTTTATCATCTTCCAAGTGTACAGTATGATATACCTTTCCCTTCTTCTCTCTAGTGAGTACAGTTCCAGGTGTTTCAGCCTTCCCAGTAGTTCAGGTTCAGCTCCCTCATGCCGCTGATCCTGTACGTGAAGGTCCGCTGCACTGCCTCCAGTTTCCGCACCGCACCCGCCTTGAGTGGCGACCAAAGCTGGCAGCAATACTCAAGATTGGGGAGCACGAGGGCTCTGAAGAGAAAAAAATACTTGGGGTTCTCTTTGATGACCTCAACCACTCGCTCTTCCGCGGCTTGTTCTTCCATCCTGTGCGAGACCTGCAGCCTGAGTTCAATTTTCTTGTGCAAATTTTCAGCCTCTGTCTTCTCGTATCACCAGTGGATTCAGCTATTTGTTTATTTAATCGCTTGCGTTTTCTCATCAGGGTTCGTCGGTCTCTCGGAATGCTGCGGACTTTAGGCCCCATTTTTCTAGGTGAACGACGCACACATACCTGTGCTAGTTTCTCACACAGTTTTGTGTAGATTTCCTCAGCATTCATCTCGTAAAACTCCGCTCTCCAACCGATTTCGTCAATTTCATTCCAAATTGCCCCCAATCCGTTCTTCGATCATGAAAGTTAAGTCCTGCCAGTCCCTCTTGGGGTATAGACCTGGGCAGGGTTTCAATTCCAATTGTCGTTTCCACCATCACTAAGCGATGGTCAGACAGTGAGGTATCTTCAACCCGGACGTCAACTACCATTATTTCATTATTAGTAAAGAAGAGATCGAGAATATTGTGTTCTCTTGTCGGCGACCGTACCTGCTGACTGAGCAAGTGTTTCGCAGCAAACTTCACAAGTTGGGCTTCTTGACTTGTGTCGCGGTCATCGACCTCTAAGCCGCCAGGGCTTGTCCAACGGATTCGTAGGAGATTGAAGTCCCCACCAATTATCAGGCTGGGGGCTGGGTCACCCAGTTCAGCCACCCTGGTCTCTATTTCCTTAAGGGTTTTGTTGAAATTTTATGGCGCACAAACAGGCAGTCTATAGACTACGGCTACACACAGGTCATATTTTTTTATGTGAAGTAGGCACGTGTTCAACAAATCCGTCAGAGTTTCCCTGTTTTCGATCTCAATTCTACAGTGCTTCTTGCGAGGGAGTTCCTAAGGTAGACAATTACTCCACCCTTCTTTCTCTCTTCTTTCCGGTCCACGCGGTAGTGTTGAAATCCTTCCATTGTAATTTCTGCATCGAGGATATCTTTTCTTAGGTGCGACTCCGTTAGTGCAATCATAAAGATCCCACCCTCGTCAGCCATCTCACGTAGCACGCCAATCTTGTGACGCGCTCTCAGTGGGAAGAGCCCCTCGATGTTGACCAGCAGAATGCCAGACTCTTCCCTTATTGGTGCGCTTACCTGCGTCTCCACCACTCTGCCTGGCGCCCCTGGCCCAGCAGCTCCTGCATCTGGAGTTGAATCGTTTCCAGCTGATGCCTCATCATTAAAAAAGTGCCGTATGTAATCTCTGCCCTTCCGCGTGCGTCCCTGTCCCATACGCTTGGACCACTCCCTGGGGTAGCTAGGTCATCCCTCCTTCTCCAAGAACTACCCTCCGCACCGCTCCTTCTACCAGTGCTTCCCGCCACCCTATCACTGCCCTGTCTTCCCTGTGATGATGGGGCCTGTGAGGGTGAGGGAGTGGGCTGGCGTCCAACAGGAGCCCTTCTTTGTGGGGGTGGGGCCTTCTCCCCCGGCGAACGTGACGGACGCAATAAACAACAACAACAACACTGTTATCCCTAGGAGCATGACTGCCACACTCACAACCCTGACGCCTGCCGACCCCTTAAGAAGGCTTCAAAAAAATGGCTGATGATATTATAATAAAGTAGTATTTGAACCCCAACGAGCAAAAGGCACTTACTCTCCATCTCCATTTAGAGTTTGTTTCTTTTAAGCAAAACAAAATCTGAGCTCAAGCAACATTTTAAAACATATTGTTATGCACTGAGAAGTCTAAAACAACCATCTTATCTATTTAAACTCCTATTTCCATGAACATGACTTATCTTATTCAAATATGTTACAACTCCTATGACTAAGCACCTGCGGTCAGTGTCATCTTGGCTACGTCATTCTATTTCATAACTACTCTGCAAAAAGCGACTAACACCTTCAAGGGACATTGAACAGCTAAGCATTTCTTCCTTGTTGCCAGTGGGTGCCTTGGGTTAGGTACTCTACATAGCTTGGTCTTGTTGCCTCAAAAGATCAAATGTTCTGTAGTTGATTCCTGTGTCAAGCTTACAACATTCACATGCATCCTAACGCCTGGGTCACTGAAGCAGTTTATGATGGTCTCTGGAGAGCAGATGCTGTTCAAACATGCACTTTCGACAAACATATCATCACACTTAGAGCACAGATGGGTCTTTTTCTGTTGAATGCTTGTGTAGAAAATGTTTTTTCAAGTTTCCTTTTGAGGGGGAAGCATAATCACACTTGGAGCACTGAAAAGGTTTTTCTGTTGAATGTTTGTGAATAAAATGACTTTTCAAGTCCCCTTTTGTGATGCAAGAATAATCACACTCGGTGCACTGCACAAGTTTTTCTGTTGAATGCTTGCGAAGACAATGTCTTTTCAAATCCCATTTGTTGACGCAAGCATAATCACATTCGGTGCACAGAAAAGGTTTTTCTGTTGTATGCTTCTGAAGAGAATGCCTTTTCAAGCTTTCTTTTGTGGTGCAAGCATAATCACACTCTGTGCACTGAAAAGGTTTTTCTGTTAAATGTTCGACGAGGATATGCCTTTTCAAGGTCCTTTTTGTAGTGCAAGCATAATCACACTCGGAACACTGAATAGGTTTTTCAGTTAAATGTTTGTAAAGAAAATGTTCTTTCAAGTGCCCTTTTGTGGTGAAAGCATGATCACACTTGGAGCACTTAAAAGGTTTTTCTGTTGAATGTTTGAAAAGATGTCTTTTCATGTCCCAATTCGTGGTACAAGCATAATCACACTCAGAACACTGATAAGGTTTTACTGATGAATGCTTTGCAAGCAAATGTCTTTCCAAGTTCTTTTTCGTGGCGCAAGCATAATCACACTTGGAGCACTGGAAAGGTTTTTCTGCTGAATGTTTGTAAAGAAAATGATTTTTCAAGGCCCATTTTGTGGTACAAGCATGATCACACTCGGAGCACTTCAGTAGAGGTTTTTCAGTAGAATGCTTCCTAAGAAAATGTCTTTTCATGAGGAAATTTGTGGTACAAGCATAATCACACTCAGAGCACTGATAAGGTTTTACTTCTGAGTGCTTTGAGAGCAAATGAATTTTCAAGTTCCTTTTTGTGGTGCAAGCATCACACTTGGAGCACTGCAAAGATTTTTCTGCTGAATGTTTGAACGATTTTTCTATGTTTTGCTTGGAGTTGGACGCCCCAGAGATGCCAGCGTCGCCAGCAGCGTCTCCTGATGGGTTAGATGCTGACCCACCTTCGCCAAACTAATGAAAAAATTACAAAGTAAAACAGTTTCCNATTTTTTGTGGATAAGAGCTGAAGGCTGCATTCAAAGGTTGCTTGGCTTACAAATTGCCTTCTTGATTTTAAGCAAATGTTCTATAACAGATATGTCAATAAACCCTTCCTTATTTTCAAGCAACCCTCTCATGTTAAACTTGCCTTTGGTCACCTAAACTTGCAACATAATTTAATAAAATTTACCATGGAGCTTGAATCTAACAATAGTTTGTACTCTCTCAACTGTAATTTTATTAAATTTAGTGACTGTTTTCAGACTCAAGTTAACAAAAAACTGACTTTCCCGACCCTTAGCACCAGCTGTTTTCAGTTTTTTTCTTCTTGTGGCACAGGCGTCAAACACTATTACACTGGAGCTTTTGTATTTGTTATACTTTTCATGTCATGCACACTGAATTCGAATTTTTCTGCAATATCTTTTTGCTTAACGGATTTCCTTCTAGCTTGTTGTTTACCCAAATTAAAGAATTCATGTCCAAGCAATACAGTGAGGTTGTTCCAGAGTCAGATAATAGAAATGTTGATTATTGTTCTTTCCCACATTTTGGCCATGCATCTAAAGCTCTGTCACAAGAATTTAAAAGATTTTTTATGAAATACTTCCCAAACATTAATCTTCAAATTTTATTGAGGAACAAATTCAAAATAGTTTTTTTCAGTTTTTATAAACAATTATCCGTTTTTATAAGCAATTGTTGCAAGTTTATTAATCGGTATAGTATTGCAAATTGTACATTTGCAAAAGTTGGGATGACCTCAGGCAATCTTTATTCTAGAGTTGCTTAGCATAAAGGGAGGAGTTGCAGGACTGGGCAGTTACGTACTATTGCGCCCTCCAACCCCAAAAAGTGCAATGTTCCAGCCTCCAGAAGTACGTAACTTTGAGGTAGGGTTTTAGCTTCTAGTTATGGTACTTCTGATCTGCGTTTTTTTTAATATATAGGTATATTTTCACAGAGATATCTAGTTTAAATGCGCTCTTAAGATCTTATCCACTAGAAATTATGAATAAATCGGTTTTGCCTGTTTTTTTCTTCCAACTTTCTTGCTCTGTCTTATCTTTGAAAGTTTAGGGTTTAACTTCCCTGTTTATTATTAATTTCAACTGCATTAACTTCTGATTTTATCTGTGTTCTAGATTTTTTGAACTGATGATGAAGCTGGACTCTGAAATGTTTTCAATAGAGATATGGTGAATTTGTGTTTTTATTTGCTTTTAAATTTTTAGTAAATTTTCAATTTAAGCAATCTAGTGTTATTAATACGTGTGTACAAGCAAATGCTAACTTCCAGATAACACACCAACCTCCAACCTCCGGCCAGCAACAGCTTCCACACCAATGCAACCAGAGTGATTCATCAACTCATACCATGAACCCAAGCAATCCATTTTCTGTTCGTCCCATGCTGTGTGGTGTTAATTATTACCCATTCCATCCGTTCTTGGATGTGATCTCAGATACATGAGGAGTGCAAGGATGTTACATTTAATGTAACAGGTTCAAGTGCATTCCCTCATCTTTCTTCTGAACTAAATGTTTTGTTCCAGGTTAATCCTTGCTTAGGGGAAATGAATTGTCATATATTTTTGAAGACCAAAAATTGTTAGGTTTCACTAGCAGGAGCATTCAGAAAATGACATTTGTTCTAGTGTCACTACCAGCACCTATTAAGTCATCAATATATCATTAGTAAATACCATCAATAAATTGAAACAATTGCCATCTTAAGGAACTGGTAAATGTTTAAAAAATTTCAGTTATAGTGTGTAATTGTGAAAGCTAAAATTATGTATACATACCTGATTCAACAACAAAGCAGAAATGTTTTGTGAGGAGTTTGGATGAGCGTCATGAGTCTCAACTTTTGCTTCTGTCTTGCATGGTACACCAGGAAGATGTTGATTTGAAGAAGCCTGGGGAGAAGTGAAGTGGAGGAAAATATTAATTTGGCTGACAATGATATGTGCATTTTTAGATAGAATGTAATGTACAACTTTTCACAGAATTATCTGCAAGTTCCGAATTTCCTCAACAGCATATGGATGTCGTAGCATCAAAATTACTGGCTGTAAAACGTTTCTTCATCTTGATGCTTCATGATACAAAGATTTTGCTTGCCATATCTTCAAAATCTTGCCATACAAAGATTTTGCTTGTCATTTGCTTGCAAGTAAATATGAAATTGAGTGGCAATTTCAGAAGCAAATGCACTTTTAGTGCGATTTTGTTGAATCCAATTTGCATACATAAATGTTCTCAGCACCTCTTTCTTTGCATTGTATGTGGACAGTTTTTAATGGTTCCTGCCAATAGTGGCCACCACATTTCATTTTTATTTCCGGAAAATAAAAGCCATCACATATCATAGTTATTTGACTACAGACAACTAAATACAACAACTACAGACAACAGACAAAAATAATGGTTTGTTTTTAGAATATAAATCCTAAGGCGAGTAATAATAAATCAAATTTCCCACGACTTCTAACCAATTGGGACTGGAGGGATAATCAGGATGAGGGTAAAGGGTTCTTCATACCTGATTATTATTGCTCAATATTTCAGACTAAATACTTGGTTAAGATATGTCTCCTGATGCATAACTTAGAAATTTGATTGCAGAAATAGCATCCTGCTGTTTGTTTATTGAAAATTGATGTGGGAATTTCTAATACTTTGTCAAACATTTATTTGCACTTCAACTCAACATACTTTATTTCCATCTAAGAATGGTTCCTCTTTGATGTATACTTCTTCAGTTTCATTCTCAGGTTCCTCCTTGATGTAGATAGCAGGAACTTTGAGGGCTGGTGGAGGATCAACATTTTCCAAGGCTGGAAAATATATACATTAGTGTACTGGTACCACTGGGCTATGGAGCAAGATATCTCATAGTAAATATAATGCTCAATATATTAATGAGTCATGTGTGCTTTAGACAAAAGTTAATATCACTCTGATGAGTGAGACTCATGAGGTGGCATATTCCAACACATTGATATCAAATATTGTACTGAAACTCCTAAGAAATAATTACAGATGAGAAATAAATCTGACAAAATTACATGAATTCAGTTCCTCCTTTGCATAATAACAATTAATTTGTGAGGCACATGGAATCTGGCTTACCTTCAGACTTTACTTTGCTGCCACCAGGAGATGCTTGAGTGAGGCTCTGCTCAGGGCATCTGCCACTCCTGACTGCAGCATCGGAGAGTTGGTGCAGAGCAACACTGCTTTCTTTGGACGCCATCACCAAATGTGATGAGAATTATGAGTTAATTAGGTTGAATTTTTTTAGTGAATAATGTTAGCAGCAATGGAAATAACACTGGAGGGATACAGAAAATTTTACAGAGTGCACTTGAGGCTAAAAAGGAGTCCTTAATTTCAACATTTGCAACAAAATTCACTTGTCCTAAGTTACTTAAATACACAATTGTTTGCTTGATATATCAATAATTTTTGATGCACACAACTTGGCTACATTTTAATATTGTGTTACATGACACTAAGTCAAAAGCATTGCTGGCCAGGCAGTGTGCCTGACAGCATTTGTTGCAATAGGGTTCAGGAAAACAATGGTTCAACTTTCTTACTTAAGCTTTCTATTCAGTCTTTTACCATGTTTAATATAAATCATATAACAATAAATAATCATGAAGCAATCACAACAAGAAAGAACATAATAAAGAATTGATGTCCCTTGTTTGCTTAAATTGAAAATTAACTAAAAAATTTAAAAGCAATGAATAGTACACATAAATTCATATCATTATAGAAAACATTTTGGAGACCAGCTTCATCATCAGTTTGTAGAATCAGTAAAATGTGTTAAAGGTAACAGTGAAAATTTTCACTGTTCCCTTTACCACATTTTACCGATTCTGCGAACTCACAATGGAGCTGGTCTCTGAAATGTTTTCCACAAAGATATGAATTTTTGTGGAATATTCTTTGCTTTTAAATTATTAGTTAGGAAAGAACATAGTACCATATGTATTGGGAATGATATAAGAAAAAGAGACCTGTGCAAACCAAGGTATGGGGTTCCACTTAACCTTGAATGACTTGTATATCAGTTTGCTAGCTTTAACCTAGTCAGAAAGGCTGAAGATGATCAAACCTAATGAACTTAAGGAGTGCACTCCTGTAATGGTAATGAACTTAAGGAGTGCACTACCATTACAGAAATACATGATAAGGTCTATGAGTAATTTTTATGTAGTGAACTAACAATTACCACTCTGAATTATACCCCCACATTAACTAATGATAAGCATTTGCACCTCAGGAAAGGGGGTTTGCAAGGACCCCTAGTAAGTATGAACTACTTCCTTGAAGAGCAACTAAAAGAGAGCTTCAAACATCCAAGAAAACTCACCATCATAGCCTGGCATTGATGAGAATCCTCTACCAACAAGCCAGTAAGGCAGCGTAAATCAATCTAAATTATTTTGTTTGACCTATGGGTTTCCCTAAATTAACTAGTCACTATAATTGTTGCTATATATATTTATTATTTAAATTCAATGCCATTCTCAAGTGGAACTGTTGTAATTTTTCACCCATTCAGATCAAAAACATCCAATCACACAATAAAAACTTTTGTTTTAAATTTCTACAACTTCCTTATAGATAAGTTTTTCATCCTTTACATAGGGAAATGGAATCTCATTAGATCACCTATTTTGGGCTTTCCAACTTCTTGATGCAACATACGGAATAATTTCTTAGTTCAAAAGAAATGCAGTACCTGTCTCTTATACACATCTAGATGTGTATAAGAGACAGCAATAACAGTATATGGATCATAATGGATGGCTAAAAAGGGCACTTATTGCCTTCAATAATGGCCAACAGGCCAAGGTGGTGTTTACCACTTTGGGATTTTTGGGTAAACAATTATTGATAAGTCTATTCATTAGCTTTGTAAAGTTTGTATGGAGCAAGGTAGGTACCGAGCTAAATATTGACCATTTAACTGGCTTCAATATACAAAAACACTTCAGTAATGCGGATCTTCTAAACATTGAAGAGTCACATAACAGATACTGATAGGTAGCTGATAGCACAGCGCACAACAATATCAATAGATCTACTAGTTTTATGTCATATAAATGTACCAGACTCTACCCTCTATACACACTGACTAGTATAGTGACTGAGTGACTGACTGCACTGTTCCCATTTAATTCAGACCAATAAACCAATACTAAAACTAAACTGAACAATAACCAAACAAACCTCAAATGACTTGAAACAATACTTACGTATGTTATGAGAAAAGCTAACACTGTTTGAAATAAACATGTGCACAATTCAAACATTTCATTTCCATTCACTGCATTTAATTAATTTATATATAGTTTTATAATTGTAACTGTTTTGTTTCTAGTTTTAAATTCACATATTTAAGGATTGAAATTAAATATTTTATTTAGAACTACTAGTATTAGGGTGGAAAATCTTTCTAATTGCCTAAAAGTTCAATACAATCTCAACCAACCCTTCTTATATAAGCTAGCTAACACAGGTAAATTGTATAATGTGATTAATATACAATAGTCAAATAGTTAAAGACTACTTATAGCCTTATAAGAATTAGCTAAGCTGCTAGCTATGTAATATGTACAATGTATTGCAACACTTGATGCCTCTGTACCAAAATCATACAATTCATTGGAACATAATACACACTAAGACTAAAGGCAACTGGTTTATATTCCAATTTTTCATAGTACATTTATACTATACCATGAATAACAATACCTCAAAATAAATTGAAGACTGCCACAGAAAAAAAAATAGAAAAAAATAGAAAAAAATCATGATATTTTACAAAAAATCAAGTGATTTAATCACATGGTTTAATCAGTTTGATTTAATCATTGCCAACCCTGATAATAAGTGACTAGTAAGATTTAAATTCCTGGAAATGAAGAAAAATTAGCATTTCGCGTATACAAAAAATAACATATTTTAACCCAAGTAAATAAATACCTAATGATCGCGTTGCAAAAAAAGAATACATAGGTCTTGTAGAGCAAGATTTTCTCTTTTAGTTTGGTAAATTTGACCATTCACGCTGACCTTGACAAATTTGAAGAGATCCTGCAGGACAGCTATAGGGTCTGGGAAGCTGAAAATCTGGCTATATTATGTCCAGCACAAGTATAAAGCTTGTTCAAAAGTTCAAGTCCATATCTTGATCTGCATGGAAATTGTTGCAGTCTAAATATAAGTCAAAAATTTTTTGCATTGGGTCAAAACAAATTTTGAGGTACATTTTGAATCAATTAGTTTGGCTGAATTTTGCATCAGTAATGTTAGAAGTAATTTGATCAGAATCAGCACCGAAAACTGTACAGGATCTCATCATACTAGCCATTTTTATAAATTAGTTTCAATTTTATTGGACCCCAAAAATGGCATTTTGTCCAATGGTGCACGCACATGGACTGACTACCCTTCAGACAAGGGGCTCTAGATCAGCAACTATTGCAGCTAGAGGCCCAATATTTTGGAAAACTTAGTTTAGGACTTCACTAGTGCTACAGTTAAAATTTGAAGAAAATTGGTGACATGATGGCGGGAACTTTTTTCAATTTTAGACCACTTGGCGTGGAATGACCCTTGACCCAATTAAGATGGTGTGAAATTACAAACCATCCTGAAAGCTTACAGATACACAAGAAATGCTATATGGCTGCTCATATGAAGCCTGCAGTGGACAAGGTTGATGTAAATGCCCAATGGCATATTTATGGATAGGGTAATATTATACCAATGAAGGAAAAGCAAATAAAAATCACAGAAAATGTCATTTCTTCTACATCTACATCTACAAAGGAAGAGGAGGACTTCAGTTCACTGTTAGTAACGGCAACATTCCTTCGTTCAAAGTTTTTCGAAAAAGTGAGCTTCTTTCCAGTCAGCCGGCAACATTCCTTCGTTCAAAGTTTTTCGAAAAAGTGACGAACTATTGCAGCTAGAGGCCTAATATTTTGGAAAACTTAGTTTAGGACTTCACTAATGCTACAGTTAAAATTTGAAGAAAATTGGTTGGACCAGAATCACAGTCCCCTGTTCCTGGTTCCCCATTCCTTAGTCTTGTTCCCAATCCTACCACGCCCTCCCTCTTGGCATTGACTGTCCACATTCTCAAATTCAACCATGGCTGGCACACAGGCCACATCTCAAAGATGATTTAAGTAATGAATCTTAGCACAGTCTAGATTGAATTTTCCTACTTATGATTGAAATGTCATGGCTCCCAAGTCCCAAGTGATAAATTTTTATACTTATGGAATCTTGTGGGCAGGCTGGATGCTGGAATTCTAGAGTGCTATTAAATTATTCAGTACACATAGTATTAGTATATTCAACACAACCAATCACAGTCTGGACTGGAGAGAATGACATCACAACCCCAACAACATGTCACAGTCAGGTGTGGATGACATTGCAACCTATCACAGTCTGGAAAGGACATGCAGCCCAAAAAATGACAGAAGTATTATGCATTTTATATCTTGATGTTCCAGCCTGCTTGCAGTTCAGTTGTACAGCTTTATTAAAAATTTAATAAAGATTAATTAGATAATTCATCTATCAGGAATCTTGTGGCTCCAAAAATAGCAGGAAAGCTCTAGTTGCAGATCAAAATGTGATATATTTCACCCTGCTTTTTAAATTTGATTTATGCTGGAACATGGCTAGCAAAGTAGTTTAATTTACATTTTTATGCATAGGTAGATTGTATTTTCAATTGGGTAAAGAATAAATATTATTATTTTAAAGTGCCTACTAAAGAATATTTGGAAAATATTGATACTTGTATTTTAGCTGTAGGTACTTTATCTGTACTCAACAACCTGCATGCAGGTGTAATTTATCATCAACAGATATCATCCCTTTCATGACTATCCAGGGTTTTTTTTTTTTTTTTTGAGCACATTTCTTTTCATTTTGATGTTTCATAGGGTAATTTGTTTGTAAGACAAGAGTAGGATGTTTTTAAGGTGGCATTCCACTGAAGCTGAGGTATTTATTATTTCCTCAATCTATTTTCAGATTCATCATGGTTCATTCTTCTCTCATTTCATTTGTAAGATTATCCTGTAGATCAGGAAAATTGACATTTCAAGTGCGTTACCTGAATGCCCTACCAAGACCTGGACACACATGCTCGTCAACTCAGTTCCAGTGTATAAAACCATGGCTGCATTTGCGGGTGAGAATCAATGGAAAATCTTTTATTATATTGAAGTGTGCTTCTGGAGTAAAACAATGTAATTCTAATTACATTGTTTTATGTAAGTATATTCTTTTCTAAGTTCCTTGTTTTCTGAATTGTGTGTGTACAGAAATTTGCTCTCAGTTTGAATGAAGATATGCCTCATGGGCTTTGAAAATAAGGGATCTGCAGATTTTGAAAATTCAATTCAAGTATCTTTTAGGCAGAGATAGCCTGATCAGCTGAAACTATGACCAGGTATTCAGAGGTGTGAACTGTGTTGAGTTTGGATGAGATGCAGAAATTGGTGTCTTCTCTAACAAAACTGTAACACCAAGTAGATTTTTGTATTGTTTGTATTGCATTTTTGCCCACGTTTGCCTTCTCTAGTATATACATAGTTTCCTTTCAAATCCTTCTTGTTACATCTTTTGCTTTTTTACCTGAATTACATTCAGGTACATTTTAATTTTTTCCTGCAGATTTGATAAAAAATGAAAACCGACACACTGGTTAGAGAAGGTGGCCATTTCATCCAATAAAAATATTACATTTCAGGGACAGCTGATGCAGCCATGTTTGCATCACAGGACTTGCCCATCCAGACATTTGTCTTCCAATCCAACTTCAGAGAGTACATCTCCTCAAAATGAACTCAATGAGAAGTAAGGCTAATTTTGAGTCCATGAATGCTAACTAAATCCTGTAAGTTTATTATGTGTGTAATACGTAAGTATATACATATAAAATGAAGTCTTGTCTCTCTAAAATCTCTTGTTAGAATAGCTCATAAATCCAGTATTTAATCTTTTGATTACTATCATTTAAACATGAGAGTTAAGTCATACAAAAATGATGAAAATGACAGCTGACTTCTCAATTAAACTGTTTTATTCAATTGATATCATTATTCAGAATAAGGCATTAATTATCCTAATTTACAAATGCACTAATCATTAAGGACTCACTGATGGTGTTTCTCAATGTGAAAGTGTATAACACACATGCTATAAGAATTCATTCATGGGCAAGTTCACAAATGTTGACTAGTAGATCAATATAAATTTCATCTGAGATAATGGTTCAAAAAATTATTCTTTTCTTTTTTTTTGCAATGCAAAAGACATCTGTTAAGGATCATAAAGGAAGAATTGTATTTTTTCATCAATACTAGAATTGTACTATTTAAATTATTATTTCTAGGCAGCAGGACATTGGTGGTGGCTCATGGCAAGAAATATATGAGGGACTGCTAAGCACTCAAGTCAAGCTTATCAAAGGCTTCTCTCTGGGCACCTCAGTCATTGGGCTTTCTATACAGCCTTTTGTTATCACAGTAAGTTTGCCTCTTGCATGAAATATTTAAACAAGTACGAGCTCTAAATCCAAGAAAGAATATAAATCAAGCTACAATGTTGCACCCCATTTATTTGCATCAGAAGTTTAAATTTATAACGTGTTGAAAATACAGAGTCAAGAACTCATTGTGCCCAATGGCTCAAGGTTTAGGATGGTAATCATTCCAATAGAAGCTTGTATTGCGTTGTTAAGGCTTAACCTAACAACCATAATATTTCATTCTTCATTCAATCATAACAATAATACATTATTATCTTCATATAGTTACGAGTCTGACGATTTTCTTCATAGAATTAGATAATCAGCAAATGAAAGCTAAATTTCTTTCTTTTTTTGCACCTAAAAGCTGATTCCAGAATTGTTCACTTGAATAGTTTCCTCAAGAATTGTGCTTAGATTTATAATTCATGATTAACTGATACGCCTTCATTGTGATTTCCAGCACCTCGGATCAAGCTTGAGCTTGGTTATGTCATTCAGTGCCCTCATTGGCATGTTTACTTTCATCACTCCCGCCCTCATACACTGGTTCACCAGGAAGTACGTCTTCAGATTACACTACTACCCCGAGAAAGACATCTACGCTGCTACCACGCTCTCGTTCTTCTTAAGAGAAAAGACTGTAAGTAACCTCCTTTCTCTAAAGTAGGTAGGTTTAAAGGAGTTGAAGCTTTTCATCAAGTTAGTGCTGTAATCATGATTATCTAAAACTTGATCAGATAATGACTATCAGAAACTTGCAACATTGGTGTTACACACAAACTTGTTGCACAACATTAATGTTGTGCACTGTTAAGTTTCGAATACAATATTGTTATGTCTAAGTTGGGTGACCTGCTGTTGGTGTATTTTACTTGAATAATTGTAGATAAAATAATGAAAAGTTTGTTCTGAATGGAAGTTTTTAAAATTGCATATATTTATGACTAGCTCAAAAAATATACAATTTGAAAGGCACACTGTTTATTGACTCGAGGCCTATATATTTACATACGCTTGTTACGTCTTGGAAGCAGGTTTCTAAGAGCGTTGCACATGATTTCAAATGCTCCCATATGGATGATTAATTCTAACAATAAATTATATTTTTCAATGATGAACAGATCGAATTCAAACCCAGTGACGTGACCATCCCGGAAATCCCGAGCATGTTTACTACTTTTCTGGTGAAGAACAAACCATTGTTTGTGGATGTGGACACCTTCAAGGACATAGAACATTATGGGCGCATCATGGGCTACGATAAACCTCTTAATTTGAGAGTCGACCCTGACCACAAAAAGTTATAAAATTGGCGCTGCAATTCTATTCATTATGGTGCTCATGCCATCGTGGTCATTGAGTTTGACTGCGTGTTGTTTGTTGGCCACTGTACCTTCTTGTAAATATACATCTCTCATCCATATTAATCGGAAGTCTAACGTTATTCATCTTTCCACATCACTGTTCGCTGATCCATATATGCAGTGCTAACGATTTAAATGAAATCGTTTTAATAACGTTGAACAAATTGTTTCCGATTTGTTGTGAGGATTGAGTGACGTCCACAGACGATGTCGCGCGATGGCGTTGGTTCAGTAAGTGTTCCAATAAAACTACCATTCAACAATAAAAAAATATACTATATGAAAATTTAAATTTATAGACGAATTGCTTAAAACAATTTCAATGATCAAACAACCCATTTTAGTTACGATGTATGAAAGCACAGTTAAATAATAACGAGTAAACGCCGACATCAAGTACAATTTTTAAAATCGATCGTTTAGGCTAATAAACTGATAACCATAAAATCCACATTATTAGCTATTTCAACACGATATATGGCACATGGACATTTTTATCCTGCAGCTGACGCATTAGTATGTAGAAACGGAGTCTTAATGATACGGCAGCATCCTCCATTTGTTGCTATTTACTTATTGACGCGCCGATATGTTAATGACAGATGCAGGGGTTGGACAAGTAAGAGAAAGACCTGACATTTAGATATCGTAATTTTTAAACACGTTTTAAACTATGAAAACGTGACGTGATGATCTGGTGCTATTGCTTGAAAATACGGCGGTCCAATGATTTCTCTTCATGGAATAATCAACGGCCGTGACTATCTACGAATTCTGGAGTTCTAAGTTCATCCAATGGTTCGATTTCAAGCACTGTTTCCGAAGGGCAACGCCATCTTTTTTCAAGATAGTAATCCACACAGCTGGAATTGTTAAAAAAAACTGACACTAGAAACATTCTAATGAAGTTGAGCATCTCGTTTGGCCACCACAATCACCAGACCTGATTATTATCTGGCATTTATGGTTGATTTTAGAGATGAAAGTCAGAAATCGAGTCCCTCCGCAATCGTCTTTAAAGGAGTTGGAGGGAGTTTTAACCGAAGAATGGGTTGGAATTCCTTTGGAAACAATTCAAAATTTGTATGAATAAATACCTCGGGGCACTGAGGCTGTAATAGCCGCAAAAGGTGGATCCACACCATACTGAAATATATTTTGTGGATTTTTCAGGTTTTCCCTTATTTCGTCTAACCCTGTATAAAAAGATTGTAATTACAGTAGACGCGATGAGGTTTGAAGTTACTTCTGCCTAAAAACAATACTGAAAACACAAAATCACCGAAACATTCTGTAACATAAAGTCAGAGTGATGATTTAAACCTATGACATTACTTAATTTCAACAACGTTTGAGGTTGTGTTTGCTTTTAAACGAGAAAAGTTCAGCCGTTGTCGAAGCTTGAAAGTTGATATCAATTAATGAATATGCTCATGAAAGTGAAGTCAGTATTGTTATTGAAGAGCAATTATACCTACTCCAATTGTGAGTGGAATCGGCGCTAAGGTATGACCTGAAACAAGTTCTTCAATACAGAATGTTCTTATATTGAACCACTTTTTTCGAACGAATTCTAACCTTAAAAGGAAAGAAGGCAGCAGTAGATAAGCAAACACTAGATTTGCCTGCTGAAAAGCAGTCAAAGCTTTGATTTTTTAGCCATGCTGGCAGCGACGCACTCGAAGAATTCTTCAGACTGCCAGCGCTTCAGAAGTTCGTTGCATTCCTTCACATTTACCTGCATGGGAAATTTGGTCTAGATTTATTTTGTATTATTCTAATGTTAATATGAAAGTGATCACCAGGAAGGCTCGCATGAGCTACAAGCCCTGCATCATTGCTCAGGTTGCTGAGTTAACATGACTGGCAAGGTGATTTAAAATGAAACTTTAATGGTAGTTACTGTTTGACAGAGATAATAATCGTCAAGCTAGTTCTATATAACATAAAACAATGCTGGTCTAGGAGATGGCACGGAAAGAAAAAAAGGAAATTTACACCGGAAAGTTGCAAAATTATACATTCATATTCAACAATATACATTCATATTTTCAAGCTGAAACTGGGCTAAAAGTTTTTTCAAAATACAGACAAGACGTCAGTGAACACACATAGGTACGATGATGTAAACTATGAACCAAAGTTCTAAAAGTTTCAAGTAAATAAAAATTGTCAACCAAGAGAGTGTTGCTGAACAGTAAAAATTAGGAATAAATAATTTTGTTCGTAAAATACCAGTAATAATGAATTCATTCCAATAGTCAAAATGTCACCTGGTGAAGCTGGTCCCTCAAATGATCTTTTACGAGGTTTTTAGCTGCAGTCAGCGTCTCTACAGGGCTATTGTTGGCAATGTTCCTTATAAACTCCCACTCGGCCTCCAGCTCTGACCGCGTCACCACTTTAGCGACTAGCCCACAGTTCAAGGCTTCAGCTGCACTCATCTACAAATAAAGAATATAATACTTTCTAGTTAACTACTCGAACAAAAGGATATTTGGCTATGTAAACACCATACGATACCCGGCGTTGATGCTCTTTTGATGTGTGTACCAGGTCAACTTGTAGCAGCCAATACAAACGAAGGCGACTGGCCGACTCTATCTTAACCGGCAACTCAGCTCATACTCCTCAAGCCCTATTTAAATACAGAACCAAAAATATTTCATGAAATAAGAAGCATTGTTCTATATCTGATATTACCTTATACCCCAATAAAAGCATCTGTGCTGCTGTGGAAGGGCCCATGATGCGAGGAAATGTGTAGGAGGAACAGCCTTCTGGCACCAGCCCCAGCGACACAAACGGCGTCCACAGCGTAACCTGCGCAACACAAGCTTCACGTCAGCACGCGTATATTTTTACCAAAATGCACTCAATAGCTTTGGGCAATTACTACCTTTCATAGCAGATTTATATATATATATATATATATAGTCACAAAATATCACTTTAGGTCTATTGATAACATATAACATCACTAGTTACATCAAGATACTCCTGCCAAAATTATTCAAAAATCAAAATAATCTAAAGAGAAAAAAAATAATCCTTCACCGAACACAGTTGAAGTTATGCTACCAAATTGAATTGATATTGATCTGAAATAAATTGGTTATCACTGGAACATTGCGCAAGTATACTGCTAGTAAATGTTAATGAAAGCTCTTTGAAAATTGTGCAACCGTGTCAAGACAGATGACAAGATCCAGCAGAGGTAGGATGGTGACACCAAAGCCAACTGCTGGGCCATTCACGACGCCTATGAGCAACTTAGGGAAGTCGATGATGCACTCAACTAACCTGGCAAATATATAACAAAATCTATGAGCCATGAGGCAGGTAACACGAACATACGTACATAAAAACAATCTGGCTTAGATAAAGAGAATGTATCATTATGCGCGATAGTACCGTTATTGTGATTGGAAAATAAAGAGGAGGCAGGCAATTCAAGAGTCTTCCATAAGTAATATTTTCATAAGATTAATTACACAAAATTGGCTTGTAGATTTTTGGTGAGAGGTGAGACTCAGTAACTCAATAATCTTGAAATGCTCCATGAAAACCTACTCAGTGAGATGCCACTGAGGTCAGGCATCTCACTTGCAGAAGAAGTCTCTGCCACCTCTTGCTAGGTCTTCCACACTCAGAGGAGGTCCAGCCTCAGGAAAACCCAACAGCTTTCTTTGAGCGGGTCTGAAAAAAATTACATTAACTTGTACATTATTTTAGCTTTCATAACATCCAAGTTTCTCGAAAAATTGTGGTTAGCTTCACAAATTTTATTCCAAGTCAATGGTTATTTTTTACACAGAATCTAAGAGTAGACAATTCATGAAGTGAAAATTGCTGTACACAGGTAATTAGATGGCTTTAATTCCTTAAGGCATTTATAAAGTAAATATAGGTAACACTCACTGATCAGATGTAAGGAAATTTGAGACATCATTTCCTGAAGTGAAATACTCCCCTTTGCCTGTGATGACCACCACAGAACAGTCTGGATCATTTGCCGCATTATTGAGGGCCGTTTGCAGCTGGGAAAGCATCTGAAAACAAAAGCATTATTTTAATTCACATTGATTTGATATAAGCTTTCTTTAATAAATAATGTCATACTGATTTAATTCATTAAAAATCTCTTGTCAGGCAAATAATGTCATACTGACTTAATATGTTAAAAATCTCTTGTCTGGCAAATTAGAATATGCATAATAATATATTTCTAATGCATTTAACCATTTTTTGGCAACAGAAGAGATAAAATTAAAAAACTTGCGGTGGTCCCTAAAAAATTTTGATGCATCTTACAGGAATCTAAGATGAGAAGCGTTGAGTAAATCTAGAAGCGTTGAGTAAATTTTAGTAGGTAGGTATTAGGTAACAACCATGGCTCACATAATATCTAATCTAGACGTACAAATCTCAAGTGAACAATGTGTAGATTTACATTTTTGACATTAGTTGTCCACTCTAAGTAAACTAAAAGTTGTGCATTACTTAAACAATACTGTCAACAAATCAACTTGTCAGCATTTAATGATTTATCAGTAGTAACAGTAAGTTCTATTCTCATTATAAATATTTGTTTCATTTATAAGTCATGTATCTTTTGAAATGATTTGAACTATTTTTTAATGTTATTTTGATGTAGAATGGAATGGTGAAAGCCTTATATTACTATTATGATCTTCTGTGCTGTGGTTTATTCTGAAATCTGAGTACCTAAAAAATTTTAAAAAATCAATAACAATTAAATAGGAGATATTTGCCTTCTGCTCTGTTTTCCAATCAAGCATTTTGTAGCAAGAATATTATACAGAGATATTTCAGACATATATGAACTTAGGTGCTGTGCTGCAGAACTGGTGATTGATGGCTGTTGGCAACTTGGCTGTGGTGCCTCTTTAAAGATCTTGGGTTATTTGTTCACTCTATAGTCTATGGATGATGTTGGATTGGATTTGGTAGAAACTCACTGGCTAGACGAGACCTAGATAGGTAGCTAATAAGCTATATCAGTCCAATGAGTCCATCGTAAATGGCCAGTGGTCGAAGAATTGCTAGGCCTTAAGTTAAAAGTAGTACTTCCTAGTTAGTAGTTAGTGAGTTACTTAGTAGGCAGCAAAATTTTACTTACTTCTAAGCTTAATGCGTTTCTTTTCTCAGGTCTGGCCAGTGTTAGGACCAAAAGAGAATTTTGTTTCGCGATTTCAATAAGTCCCATGTTTCAATAATTGATTACTGATAAGTAAAGAAAAAAAGAGCTAAGGCCGACCGCCCGGCGCCCTTCTGACCTGATTTTTTTCGAATGCGATATGATTAATAATCCGCGCATTCTGAAAGAGCAGAAATTTGTTTGTACAATGTACACTGTACAGAATCAATATCAATATGAAATAGCAGAATTTCCTCTTTTATTCATGACCAATCGAAGATCAGGACAGGGGAATGCATTTTGTAATCAAATAATTGTGAGTTCTTTCAAGAGGAGAACGATATTTTGTGCTAGCGTTGGTAGATCGAACAGCAGATTTCCACATTTTGATTGCATAATCCCCGACTCACGACTAGGCTACGGCATTAATTAAGCCCCCTTCTAACTCGCTACTTTCAGTCTTAACTCTTGAGGTCTAGGTAGCTCTAGGAACCAACTGAGACGGCAGTCTTTTTTCTTTTCTTTAATTGGAATTTATGGGAGCCTCTGAAGACTGGTTCAATGCGGCCCCATGTCAGGACAGTTCAAGTAATTTGACTGAATTTTGTTTTCAGGTACAAAATTAGGTGTCTTGAAAAAAAGCTGAAGATTTCTCAATGGATGAAGAGCTGCAGAACGGGGCCACCAAAGTGGAGACCACACCGGGGCAGAGAGCACCACTCCAGGGCAGAAAGCCCCACTCCAGGGCAGAAAGCCCCACTCCAGGGCAGAAAGCCCCACTCCAGGGCAGATAGCCCCACTCCAGGGCAGATAGCCCCACTCCAGGGCAGATAGCCCCACTCCAGGGCAGATAGCCCCACTCCAGGGCAGACAGTCCCACTCCAGGGCAGAAAGCCCCACTCCAGGGCAGATAGCCCCACTCCAGGGCAGAAAGCCCCACTCCAGGGCAGAAAGCCCCACTCCAGGCCCTGGAACCTGGGGACACTAACCACTCACCTGGGGACACTAACCACTACTACCTGGGGACACCAACCACTCACCTGGGGACACTAACCACTCACCCGGGGGCACTAACCACACATGGAGGCAACTTAAAATCTTTGTAACGAATTTTGCAGTTTGATGCTGGGAGCATTTATAGGTGCTCAGGAGTTAAACTTCACTTTAGCTGGTCGTACCATTCACCGGCTCAACGCCTCGGAGCGGGACAGCAGAGCATTTTCAAAGTTCGAGAACGATAGTTCCAGAACAATGACGTAGCAGCCGGCCGAAGCCGGCTACTGTCACGGGAGCTCAGCACAAAGAACCTCTTGCCTCAACGGTTAGAACAGAACCCATTCATTCCTTAGTTTAGGATTTTTATTCTTTCCTGTTTTCCTGTAGATGAGTGTAGAATTATGGATACAAGAGTGCAGAAAAAAAACAAGTCGTCGTTTATTATAAGCCTTTTGTTAGTTATAGTCCCTGAAAAATTTCTACAATTAAGTTCGGCTTGCGACCCTGAGTGACCCCAGCACCTTCAGCATTCGCATATTTTAAAATATTTGAAATTGTCACGTTCCATAGAATATTGAAATAACTCCATTGTTGATTTAAGCTCATAATTCGAACCTGAATGGTCAATAGATTTTTGCCTTCAAGACTTAGTGTAATTTTCTGAATTTTAAACCAAGATCTACAAGATGAAACAAATGACCCTTTCAGCGTTTCTATTCGCAGCATCATAATGGATCTATATATTTATATATATATATATTTGATGAATTCAACAAGCCTTTATATAAGCCATTGCCTCTTAATAACTATTTCTCTTCATACAGCTGAAGCAATATTTTTTTTTATATCAGGCAGCTGAAGCAATTATCCTTTTATTCATATATTGCAAATAGTCGGCAATTTAGAGGATCAACTTCAATTTTATCGGCGTATCTGATGCACACTATAAAGCTTCACGTATTATACCATTTTCTTTTATTGACAAAAAATGCTGCTATATAAGCAAAATGAACATTTACGGAAGGAACCTTTCCCTTAGGAAAGGGACATTTACATATATGGAGAGAGAGCAGGGAAGGGAACCTAAGGGAAGGAACCATTTTCCTTATAGGAACTTTTTGACGACCTACCATAAAGCTGTCGCCACGTCCGTTTCAACTGCACGAATTTTAAAGAACGGATTTTTTTGTGGGTTCAAATATCATTACAAGTATAAAAATTGTATTTCTCTGGAAATTTTATTTCATTTCTGTTTCGTAGATTGATGTTCGAAACAATCCTATTGATGTTCGAACAATCCTAGTCCTCATATTTTTGAAATTTTCTAATGACCCTTGAATAATGAAGGTGATGTATTAGAGCTTCGATATCAGAAACAAATACATATTCTAAAGGAGTTTTCTTATAATAATTTCTGCCAATTGCGACATTTGAAAATGTTATTAGGTTTTTAGGATAAATTTTCATACATTTGTTTTTTTCACATTCTGATATTTAAGCGATCCTCGAATCATGAAGAAATCAGCCAAGGGTCTAAAATTTGGGCCACGTCGTTTTTGTACCAAACTATACTTTAACTCCAAAAAGTTCATAAAATGCTACAGGACATATTTGGCCTGGTGAACGCTGACACTGCCCCATGCAATTACTAAAATTTTCCGGTCTCCAGTGCATGCAGAGCAGACGAGAATAAAACGACGTTCAGAAATTGGCTGTATGGCAGTGACCAGTTTTCCCAACTTCACACTTCACTTAATATTTATTTACGTATATAGGTAAGCACGCCAGATGGAAAAATAGCCTAAGAAGTTATGCTTAAAGCCATAGTGCCTTAAGTCCATATAACCATTGCACAAGCATGTTCAACGTCTCCTAATATAAAGCCTTTAGTTAAACGTCCTCGAATATAACATTGCGAGGCACAGCCTCTACATTTACCCTTACTCCTTACCCCAATCCAACTTAGCCGGACCTAATTAGCCTTCCTCATTGGCTGCGGGAATGTAGAAAGGCGGAGCAAGTGATGTAGTCAGTCATTATATGTACAAGAATATTTCATGACTGGAGCTGAGCACGCTAGAGGTCACAACGCCATGCAGGAGGCTATCAAAGGTGTTGCGCTCACTTATTTCTGATGAAGTTTTGAGCCAACGACTCGGTTCGTGAATTTTTGAACCACGAAACTAAACATTGCAAGAGGCCATTACAAGAGGCCACTGTAAGAGGTCATTGCAGGTGGCGTGCAGAGCTCTGATAACAATGTACGGTCGATAGTCCGTTTCTGCTGCCGATTAAATATTTAAGAAATCGTTCTGTGTGAGGGCGATTTTATTCTCTAAGTTCTGAGTTAATACTCTGCTCATAAAGTTCTGAGTCCGCAATTCTGCTCATGAAGTTCAGAGCAAATAAGTGACAGAAATTACTTTGTAAAAGGAATTCAGAACAAAGGCTGTTCACAGATTGTTCATAGCAGCAAATATTCTCAGAAAGTTCTGAGTAAAAGCTGCTCTCAATATTGTTTTGCCATGAAATTTCAGCTTAAAAGATCTTCCCGCAAATTTTACTATAAATCTTCGTTTTTGGCCCAGCTCAAACTGTTCTTACTATAGAAGTGGCTGTTCTAAACCAGAACTTCCTTTTCATACACGAGACCTGAGAGTTATTACCATGGATCTTACTGTTCTTTCATGAGAACTCTTTTTAAAAACTCAAATCAGCTCTCACGGAATTAGAAATACATTTGTCACGCAGCTCTGAATAACAAAGTGAAACTAACTGTTCTTTACATATATGACGGGATGCTCATTTCGTGGTATATTTTTTTTATTTGTACGTTCTATTAATCCTGTGCTAGGTTAGTGACCAGTCAATTGATGTAACATTTATTTTGTGACTGAAATAAGGAACTTCATTTAACTGTGATATTATTATTTTGTTAACTAAAGGGTTTAATTTATGACTAAACAATGTGTAAACGA